CTGTCGTTTAGTGCTATAGAATACCATGTATTGAAGTGTAGATAAGTGTACTGCCGCGTAGTGATGTACAGTACCATGTATTGAAGTGTAGGTAATTGTACTGTTGTTTAGTGCAGTATAGTACCCTGTATTGAAGTGAAGATAAGTGTACTGTCGTTTAGTGTTGTACAGTACCATGTATTGAAGTGTTGGTAAGTGTACTGCCGTGTAGCACTGTGCAGTACCATGTATTGAAGTGTTGGTAAGTGTACTGTTGTGTAGTGCTGGACAGTACCATATATTGAAGTATAGATAAGTGTACTGTCGTTTAGTGCTGTACAGTACCATGTATTGAAATGTAGGTGAGTGTACTGCCGTTTATTGCTGTGCTGTGCTGTACAGTACCATGTATTGAAGTGTGGGTAAGTGTACTGTCGTTTAATGTTGTACAGTACCATGTATTGAAGTTTAGGTAAGTGTACTGTCGTTTAGTGATATAGAATACCATGTATTGAAGTGCAGATAAGTGTACTGCCGTGTAGTGATGTACAGTACCATGTATTGAAGTGTAGGTATGTGTACTGTCGTTTAGTTCTGTACAGTACCATGTATTGAAGTGTAGATAAGTAAACTGCTGTGTAGTGCTGTACAGTACCATGAATTGAAGTGTAGGTAAGTGTACTGCCGTGTAGTGCAGTATTTTACCGTTTATTGAAGTGTAGTTAAGTATTCTGTCGTGCTGCACAGTATCATGTATTGAAGTGTAGGTAAGTGTACTGTCATTCAGTGCTGTACAGTACCATATATTGAAGAGTAGGTAAGTGTACTGTCGTGCTGTACAGTATCATGTATTGAAGTGTAGGTAAGTGTACTGTCATTCAGTGCTGTACAGTACCATATATTGAAGTGTAGGTAAGTGTACTGTCGTGCTGTACAGTATCATGTATTGAAGTGTAGGTAAGTGTACTGTCATTCAGTATTGTACAGTACCATATATTGAAGTGTAAGTAAGTGTACTGTCGTTCAGTACTGTACAGTACCATGTATTGAAGTGTTGGTAAGTGTCCTGCCATGTAGTGCTGTACAGTACCATGTATTGAAGTGTAGGTGAGTGTACTACAATGTTATGCTGTGCTGTACAATACCATGTATTAAAATGTAGGTGAGTGTACTGTCGTTTAGTGCTGTGCTGTGCTGTACAATACCATGTATTGAAGTGTAGGTATGTATACTGTCGTTTAGTGCTGTACAGTACCATGTGTTGAAGTATAGGTGAGTGTACTGTCGTTTAGTGCTGTGCTGTACAATACCATTTATTGTGAAGTGTAGGTAAGTGTATTGTCGTTTAGTGCTGTACAGTACCATGAA